AAAAAAAGATTTATTTATTCATGAGAGACACAGAGAGAGGCAGAAACATAGGCAGAGGGAGAAGCAGGCTCCATGCAGGGAGCCTGATGCAGGACCTGATCCCAGGACCCTGGAATCATGACCTGAGCCAAAGGCAGATGCTCAACCACTGAGCCAACCAGCTGCCCTGAGAACACTTGTCTTAATGAGTACTGAGTAATATTTAAAATTACTTAATCATTATACTATACACCTGAAACTAATATAACACTGTATGTTAGTTGTACTTCAATTATAAAAGGAATGTGAGGGATCCCTGGGTGGCTCAGTAGTTTAGAGCCTGCCTTTGGCCCAGGGCGTGATCCTGGAGTCCTGGGATCAAGTCTCACATCATGCTTTCTGCATGGAGCCTGCTTCTCCCTCTGCCTGTGTGTGTGTGTTTGTGTTTCTCATGAATAAATAAATAATCTTTAAAAAAAAAGAATGTGAATGTTCTAAAAGCCATCGAAGCATGCATATACTTGAAAAATATTTAAAATGGTTAATCTTATACTTATTTTACCACAAAAATTATGCTGTTTTTCAGTGCTCTCTTAAAGCCATGTTGTGATGTGCTTTTTTTTTATTCAACAAGCTCTCTTAATTTTTAGTACACAATACGTTTTTAAAATTGTTTTAAAGACTTTATTTTTAAGTAGTCTCTACACTCAATGTGGGTGGGGTTTGAACTTATAACCCCAAGATCAAGAGTTGCATGCTCTACTGACTGAGCCAGCCAGGCGCCCTCTCAACAAGTTTTTAAGAAGGATATATAGCAAAACAATATGGACAGATTACACATTTCATCTGAAAAATTTACTTTTCTTTAATTTCCCAACATACCTTTTCCTAACTGAACCATCCAAATTAAATCAAATTCAGCAAGTAATTTCCAAATGCCGACTTCATCTACTATTGCATAGCTCTGATCCATGGTACCACATAAAACAGGTAGCATACATAACACATGTACACACTTCATAAGTAATGAAATAGTCAGAAATCAAGATCACTCAAGCTCTATTTGCACAAATAACCATGATAGGTCCATCTACTTGGCAGTCCTTCAAAGAAACGAAATAATATATGCAAATAATATAGCAAATTTTTAATGTTAAAACATTACACATAAGAACATTTGACACTAGATCCATGAGGAAAATTCCGGCAGGACTGACCTTTGAAAAATATATGTGGGAATCAGACATCCAGGAAGCAATAAGAATCAGCGGGACTATAGTACTTTTGAGTAGCAAAAGAAATTTCTGATTTTGAATTGACATTGAGGGGATCCCTGGGTGGCTGAGCAGTTTAGCACCTGCCTTTGGCCCAGGGCGCGATCCTGGAATCCCGGGATCGAGTCCCACGTCGGGCTCCCGGCATGGAGCCTGCTTCTCCCTCCTCCTGTGTCTCTGCCTCTCTCTCTCTCTCTATGTCTATCATAAATAAGAAAATAAATAAATCTTAAAAACAAAAATAATAATAAAAAGAATAAATAAAATCTTTAAAAAATAAATTGACATTGAACTTTCACATTGTTTTTTGTTGAGAATGTATCAATTACTCTTCAAAGTCTACCATCTTTCCATAGAATCATAAACTACAATAATGATTCAGAAGAAGAGGAACTAAGTAATTTCCACCACTACATATAAACCTTCAGATTAGTCTTAAATGAAATTCAGAGTTTGTAAGAAAAGCAGGAGAAACAGAAGGGAAGTTGGGGACTGCAAATGAACCAATTTCTTGGTGTCTAATCCTCAAACTAGGTTAGGTTTGTTTTAGGTTTGTTTTAGGTTTGTTTTTAGGTTTGTTTTAGGTTTGTTTCCTCCCTGGGCCCTACATTGAAACTATTTTTCCTACTAAACTGCATTTAGTAAGCCATAATTAATTCATGCCATCTGTATTATTACTATTTTCCAGGTTCACTGTTGATTCAGAAATTAATCAACAATCCATAATTATGAAGGTTTTATAATAATATTATGAAATCACATAAATCACTGTCATGTTTGTGATAAGCTATAAAGTCAAGCAAGCCTGCAGAAACTTATGTACTGCTCACTGATACCAATCATTTGATGTGGCCATCAATCTGTGCTCAAGTCCAAGTTTAGTTACGCACCGGACATATTTAAGTATCATGATTCTCACATAGGGCTCTGCTCTCCATAACTGTTGCACCAACTACCTGCCCAGAAATTCCTATGCTGTCACCAAGAGACAATCAGATGTTCTTTCTCTGCATACTGATTTTATGTAAACCAAACAAAAAGCAAAGATATTTGAAATTTTGGTTAGCTTGTTCAGCCTCATGATGGGAACATGTACAACCTTCATTAAAATTTTGAAATACTGGAAACAGATGCTTATTCTTTTATTTCTACACACATATAAATATAAGGACGTTAGGGGCGTCTGGGTGGCTCAGTCACTTAGGCATCTGTCTTCAGCACAGGTCATGATTCTGGGATCCTGGGATTGAGCCAAGAGTCTGGCTCCCTGCTCAGCAGGGAGTCTGCTTCTCCCTCTCCCTCTGCAGCTCCCCCTGCTTGTGTCAAATAAATAAAATCTTTAAAAAAAATAAGGATGTTAAATAAGTAAGTTTTTTAGTTAAATGGAAAGCACCAGGATTATATGGCAGTATTGGTTTTTAAAGACAGGAAAGAAATTTTATTAGACTTAAATTTAAATAAGATACATTCAAAGTAATCAGTTGACTGTGATCTTACTGCACTTAGTACATATTATTGTTATTATAGGAATGTCATTATATTCCAATGATCTTCTTATCTTTGTGATCCCAATACATATTGCAGCACCTGGTAGGTATAGGTAGTTAATGTATATCTGTTGAACAGAGGGCTTCATTTTGCCCAGCCTGAAGAATAGCAGTCTTTTTTTTAAAGATTTTATTTATTTATTCATGAGACACACAGAGAGATGTAGATACAGGCAGAGGGAGAAGCAGGCTCCCGGCAGGAAGCCCAATGCAAGACTTGATCCTGGGATTCCGGGATCACGCCCTGCAAAGGCAGACGCTCAACCACTGAGCCACCCAGGCATCACCCCCCCCCCCGAATATCAGTCTTTAAACCTGATTTTGTTCCACAAAAGAAGGGAGGTATATTGTTTCCCAAGGCAAAATGCATATGTGAAAGACATGAGGATGTCAAGGGAGCAAAAGTAAACCTCAGTTCTACATCTAAATGCTTCAACAAACAATTACACGATAAGCTTCTTCCTTCACCTTGGGCCCACCACTACTCAATAATGGCAGAAAGTCCTGCAGTTTAAGCTAGTGATTAGAAATGAGGCTTTGAAATCACACAGACCTGGGTCCATAGTCTGGCAATGCTATCTAGTATGTGTTTTGGGGCAAGTCACTTATTCTCATCAAACTTGATTTTCATCAAACTTGATTTTTCTTGTCCATGAAATGACATGATAATATCAACTTCAAAGGGCATCTAAAGGCCAGACCTACCCTAGGACCATTAAAGTCTTAGTGAAGATATTTATGACCAAATAAAATGCAGGGCACTTTTCCCCCTTTCTTAAATGTAAGTATAGTTGACACACAATATTATATTAGTTTCAAATGTACAATAGTGATTCAACGATTTCTCCCTGTGTGTGTGGCATATATACAGTTAAAAAGAGGCAGAACAAGGGCAGCCCAGGTGGCTCAGCGGTTTAGCGCTGCCTTCAGCCCAGGGTGTGATCCTGGAGACCCAGAATCGAGTCCCACGTTGGGCTTCCTGCTTGGAGCCTGCTTCTCCTTCTTCCTGTGTCTCTGCATCTCTCTCTTTCTCTGTGTGTCTCTCATGAATAAATAAATAAAATCTTTTTAAAAAGAGGCAGAACAAGTATTACTGTTTCTGTCTTTTGGATGAAAAAGGAGAAGGCAAAATATTGTGGTATAATAAAGCTTAGACCTCAGAGTCAGACCTGGGTTTAAATTCTGGCTCTTAGCAACCTAGAGCACCTAAACTGTCTGAACCTCAGTATTCCTAATATGTAAAATGGGTATAATAATGCCTACCCTCAAACAGCTGTTTGGGGGGTATAAAATGATATGACAGGAGAAATTCACCACATGGTCACACTTATTATTATCAAGCCTCAGCAAAGTAAAGGGACTTGTCTCAGTTTACATTAATAGCAGGACCCAGTCTAGAAACTAGGAGGCCTGACTCTACTATCAGATCTTTCAGAAATAGCTATTGCTGGGCTTTCATATTTTCAAAATGTGTCTCAGGACACCTGGGTAGCTGCAGCTGAGCTCCTACCTTCAGCCTAGGGTGTGATCCTGGAGTCCTGGGATAGAGTCCCACATTGGGCTCTCTCTCTCTGCTTGTGTCTCTGCCTCTCTCTCTCTCTCTCTCTGTCTCTCTTGAATGAATTTAAAAAACTTAATAAATAAATGAAAAATAAAAATGTGTCTCTGCTGGTTTCCTATGGCAACTAAACATTTATTAAATTTTCTTCATTTCTTGACATTCTTAGAAATATCCCATGTTAACACAATACCAAACCAATCAGTATAACAGTGATACATTCAACCAATATATGGCACTGTTCTCATGGCATCATTCTGAATTTTTTGTTATGGAGTTACTGCTACAATATCAAATATGATGTCAACAAAACAGAACTGCCCACATGAAAGATCTGCCCACAAAGAAATTCTGTGTCATTAAAGGAACTATATTAACAGTGTCTCAGGTAGCACAATATCACAAACTAATGGTAGCACTGAGAATCTGAATATATTGATAAATGCCAAAGTATTATTAACTGTCCAAATATTCTCTATAAAAGAGAAATAAAATATCAGAAAATCTAAGGAAATGGTTTTCACTACTATTTGAAGAGTAAATTGGTATATTACACACTTGAAAACAGGAAGTACAGTGTGCAAAACAATCTGCTTAAAAATGAAATGAATGCTCTTTCCACCATCTTTCAAGGCCACCCTCATGGTGTGTACAAATGTCCTGGCAGATACTCTCAAGAGCATTAAAAATGCTGAAAAGAGTGGCAAACGCCAAGTTCCTATTAGGCCATGCTCCAAAGTTATCATCCGGTTTCTAACTGTGATGATGACGAATGGTTACATTGGTGAATTTGAAATCATTGAAGATCATAGAGCTGGGAAAATCGTTGTGAACCTCAAAGGCAGGTCAAATGAGTGTGGAGTCATCAGCCCCAGATTTGATGTACAACTCAAAGATTTAGAAAAAGGGTGGAATAATCTGCTCCTGTCCCACCAGTTTGGTTTCATTGTACTGACAACTTCATCTGGCATTGTGGACCATGAAGAAGCAAGATTTAAAGACACAGGAGGGAAAATCCTGGGATTCTTTTTCTAGGGATGTGATAAAGGCATGCAAATAAAATGCCTCAATGGAAAAAAAAAGAAATGAATGATGAATGGATGAATAATGTTACCTACCCTAAAAAGAAGTCATGGCTTTTACCAATGACTTTAGGATTACTCCTTTTTAGATACATATTAAGCTTCACCAAATTTTTAAAAATTGAAGCTTAAAAAATTTATTTGTAAGACTTCATTAAATCATCCGCAAATTTCATTAGATAAAATGTTTTAAATTTCCTAAAAAGTTCTCAATAATCTTAGAAAATCAACAGTCATGGGGCACCTGGGTCAGTGGTTGAGCATCTGCCTTTGGCTCAGGTTGTGATTCTGGGGTCCTGGGATTGAGTCCTGCATTGGGCTCCCTGCCAGGAGCCTGCTTCTCCCTCTGCCTATGTCTGCCTCTCTCTGTGTGTCTCTCATGAATAAATAAATAAAATCTTTTAAAAAAAGAAATAAACAGTTGTAATTACTATTTCCCCATCACAAATTTCCCAAATTTATCTATGTGCCTGACTAGCCAAAGTACAAGTCTTCAGAAGAAAATTGAAAATTTGCTGAGATAACATAGAAATTTGGGAAAATACTATTCATAATCTTATGGCACCCAAGCCTTCTACTTTACTTACACTGATTTAGAATCAGCTAGAACAATTTTGCTTAAAAATCCTTCAGTTGGAGTAAACAGCAAAAATCCTGTACACAAATGATGCTACCATTCATACTAACTCCCATTAAACATCCTATTCACTTAAATGCTTTTCTTCTCTGGACTGAAATTCAACATCCCAGGGCAGAACCATTTGGTGGTGTCATGGGAGCACATTTTTCATTTGATAAACATTCCGCCAGGTGCTGATGACACATCAAAGAAGCAGATGCTCCCTCCTCTGTAAAGGGCACAGAGTCTAAATGAGAGAAGACCTACACAGAATTGTGCAAATGTTCTAAATAGAAAGAAAGAATGGAAGAGGCACCTAACATGTGTTGGGGTCCCTGGGAAGCAGATTTAGAGATGGAAATAAGCATGCAACAAATTTGTTGGGAATGCTCTCAGAAGTTGCACCTAGAGAGGAGTAAATGAAGCAGGATTAGGAAGAGGAAGGAGTTGGTATATGATAATACAGTCACAGCAAAAGCCTCAGCTCATCTCATGGGGAGCACTGGGGATGGAATGGCCCTCAAAAGTTTTTTTTCAAATTGTGGTAAGTCTGAGTCTATGCATCCCTGAATCAGCTACTCATTGGATACAGGCTCCCTCTCCCCTCAGCCACTCAGAGAAAAATAAATCCTGAACCCCTGGAGAGGAATTCAGCTGAGAACTGCCAGCTACTTATACTCTCAAGAGCTGAGGTGATGAGCATTTCAGTTTTGTAGGCTTCGGGGAGAAAGGGAATTGGGCAATACAACACGGTATCCATTACTACCTACCCTTTGTTTCACTCCGATCCATGTGCCTCATGTATCTTCTGAAGGCAGAACCTTTAGGAATTTCGTGGGCTTTTCCTGAGGGAAGCATCTAAGAGAAAAGTTACCAGAATGAGCCACTGCCCTGTGCTGAAGCTGGTCTCCATCTAATTCTAATTCATTTCCCTCTTACACTCTCCATTCTAGATAAACCTTGCCCTCAACTATCAGCTCTCCAGGTTGGTGGATTACCTCGTGGGGTGACCCAGACCATCATCCTTGATCAGCCTGAGACCCCAATTATAAGGCTCTTATTGGGCAATGGGTACTTCAACTGTTCATCTATTGTCAAAACTGGTAGGTTTTGCAAGAGCAGAGAAGTGGAAGAGAAATGGAAGTGGATCACCTAGGTGCCAAACAAATTCCTCTCAGCCTCATTGTGTCCTGATGATCAGGGTCAGTGATTCCTGCCATTTAGGGGTTCCTTTCTGTGCTTGCTTACCATTAATGTTTGATCAGAGCCTTGCTATGTGCCCTGGTGGAAGCATTTCCCTCTGGGAACCAAAACTCCTGAACCCACAGGATCCAGAGCTCTGGGAACAGGAGGGATAAACTCTGAAAGTGGGTCACTAGGAGTGATGATGATGAGTAGGCCACTCCTACTTACACCCCTTGTTTCCTGGACTCATGCATTCTAACTGCTGAGAACATAGCAGAAAGTACTGGCTGCTGTGATCCAAATGTTTATGCTCCCCCAAATTGATATGTTGAAATTCTAATGCCCAAAGATGATGGTATTAGGTGAGGCCTTTGGGAGATACTTAGTTCATAGGCATGAAGCCTCCATGAATGGGATTAGTGCTCTTGTAAAAGAGACTGCAGAGATATCTGAAACCCATTCCATTGTGACACATCTAGAAGGCAATGGCTATGAACCAGGACAGGGCTCTCACCAAAATGTGACCATGCACTTGACCTTGGACTATCTAACATCCAGAGCTATGAGAAATAAAATTCTGTTGTTTATAAGCTACCCAGTCTGTGGAACAGACCAAGACACTGGTGCTTAATTTAGAGTGCATTCTATATCCTTGAAGATGATGCCCTATCCCAGCAGAAGATCACCTCTGAGCCGATACCTCAGCTCTATTTCCTTACTTTCAGGCTGGCAGCGTGTCAGTCAAGTGTTATGTGACAGGACTAGTAGATCTCATGATTATGTATTCACTACTGTACCTTCTTTAGAGTAAAATAAGGCCCTTGGTCTGATGTTCCTACATCACAGAGTAAGGAACAAATATGAAGGTTCTGCCAATGAGCAGGTAAGTATTCCAATTACACATTCAGGGACTCGGAAAGTAATCGTGCTGGGGGCAGGCAGGAGGATATTTCAGGAAGAAGGGAAAGTATGAAAAATGTATAATGTCCTGAAACACCTGGTGGTTTAAGGTAATTGCAAGCATGGCAGGAGGGCTGGAGCACAAGATTTTTGGGGTAGGGGAAAAGTGAAATCAGAGGTAGGAAGAGAGCAGGTCATGTAGATCACTGAATGGAATGCTAAAGATTTCTGACATAATTTTAAATAACAAAATACTGTGCTGAAATTTATATTTTCTAGTATTTTAAACCACAAAATAATATGCTAAAATTAACATTTTCTAAAACTTTACTCTGCAACAATGTGAATGTTAGATTGGAGAGGGTAAGACTTGTCAGGAAGACTTATAAAAGATAGTATGTGGGGTGTGAGAAAAAAGAGCATATTCAAAAGTCACTATAGGGTTTTTGGCCTGAGAAACTAGAAATTAACTGAGATGGAGAAAACTGCAGGAGGAGCTTGCTTGGGGGAGATGAGCAGTTCAGTTGGACATATTAGATATCTAAGTGAAGATGTCAAGGAGGCAGCTGGATATATTAATATGGAGTTCAGGTAAGAGCTCCAGGCTGGCAATATAAATTTGGAAAACACTAGCAAATAGATAAAATCTAAAATTAAGGTATTGAAAGAGATCTGCAGCAAAATGAGTACAAATAACAATAGAGGGTCCAAAACAGCCTGGCACTTTCCAAAATTTAGAAGACAGAAGTTTGAGGAGGAATCAGGAGAATGAGAAGGAGAAACCAGTAAGGGATTAGGAAAACATGGCCTTGGAAGCCAAGTGAAGCAAATATTTCTGAGACGAAGGAGGAATCAGCTATGTCAAATGCTGCTAAGTCCAGTGAGCTGAGAAATGAGGAATGGCTATTGGACTTAGCAATGCAGAGGTCATTGGTGACCTTCATCTAGAGCATTGTTCCTGGAGAGGCAGAAGCAAAGGCCTGGATTTTAAGAAGAGGAATTTAAGACAAGCTATATAGGCAACTATCCTCAAGAGCACTGCTGGGGAAAGGAGAGAAAAAATGAGTGGGAAATACCAGAAAGGGAGACAGAACAAGAGAGACACCTAACTCTGGGAAATGAACAAGGGGTGGTAGAAAGGGGGGGGGGTCACTGGGTGATGGGCACTGAGGGGGGCACTTGATGGGATGAGCACTGGGTGTTATGCCATATGTTGGCAAATTGAACTCCAATAAAAATAAATAAAATAAATAAATAAAACAGTAAAAAAAAAAGAGTACTGCTGTGAAGCAGGGCAGAGAAATGTGGTAGCAAATGGCTAAGGGAGAAGAGTGATCAAGAGGTCAAGACAGTTAATATCCAGTTTGGGGGATTTTGTTTTGTTTAGTTAGACTTTTTTTTGGGGGGGGAGTAACAGCATAGTTGTCTTCTGAAGTGAAATATCTGGTATGAAAAGGCATGTTGTGGGAGGGAGTGCGTAGGATTCCGGGAGTAACATCGTCATGTTAGAAAGCAAGGGAGTTCAGGGTCTGATCCAAGAAGTGGGTGGATTGGTCATTAGGCGGGAGCACAGTTCATGGCCAGTCACAGCAGGAGAGACTGATACAGGTAGGTGGGGAGATGCAGTACTGGAAGTCTGACCAGGTCTCTTCTAATTGCTTCCACTTCCTCAGTGAAATAGGGAGCACAGTTGTTTGTTTCTTTAAGTGTTTGCTTGCCTATTTTCTGAACTTTTGAGCACACTGCCTTAATCCATTCATCCTGCCAGCCTCTAATTGCCTTTTTACTTTATCTGAAAATTCCCTGGTAACCAGAGGTCTCTGCAGTCAATAACATCTATGGAGAGAGAAGACAAGAAGTGGCCAAATATTCCAATTGATATTGTGGAGCCAAGTTCAGTCTGTAATACAGAACCAAGAATCTTCAAGGGGAAATTACCTTCTTGAGTTGGACCTTAACATGGAGTCTATTTGACCCAGTTCTATGATATTTCTCCTTCTACTCTGCTCTGCTAGCTTCACTGTAGCATTCAAGGCTTTGGCCTTGGGCTGTAAGAGTCTTTCTAGTTCTCATGGTCCACATTAAACAAGATCCTACACTGCCAGCTTTCATCTTCAAGATAAGAGAAATAGTCTCTTAAAAAGGCAGTGGATATAAAAGCCTTAGAGAGGTAGTTTTCAAACTTGGCTGATCATTGGACTCATCTGAATCACTCATTAAAAAATATATACCTCAGGGTCTCTCTCTTA